AGCAGGCATTCAAAGAAGATTCCCTTCTCTTCTTTGGTAAGAGTGTAGCTGGCAGGACCTTTATATTGCTTTGGATGCATGTCGTCCTTTTCTTGCACACGTTGATGGTCCTCCCGTGTCTCCGGTGTATCTTTTGTCTTCCCATACACGTCCAAGAAGCCTAGAAGGTTCACGCAAAGACTCTTTGTTACGTGCATCACGTCGATTGCAGAGCGGACCTCTAGGTCTTTCCAATAGGGTAGGTCCCAAAATATAGATTTCTTCTTCCACATAGGTGCGCGTCCTGATGTCTACTACGCAACTTTATTCTTGTAGACTCGTGTTGGGCCTTCAAGCGCGGAGTTTTGTAGGAAGTAGCCGGTGATGATCTCCCCCTCTGGCAGGGTGCCAGAACGGGCTCCTGGTTGGTTTTCGGCGGCTACAGAGGCTTGTGGTGGTGGAACTTTCGATCTAGGGTCTTCGCGAGGGTTTTTGGAATATTTGAGAATTTATAGGGAGAAGAGGGGGTGCGGGAGGCCACCGAGGTGGGCACAACCCACTGGGGCGCGCCTGGGGGCCCAGGCGCGCCCTGGTGGGTTGTACCCCCCTCGGGGCACCCCCGAGGTGCTGCTCTAGCCCATTGGTAGTCTTCTGGTCCATAAAAAATCCATAAAAAGTTTCGCGGAGTTTGGAGAACTTTCATTTTTCACAGTAGTTCTGCTGAAAACATCGTCAGTCCGGGTTAGTTCCATGCAAATCATAACAAAACCATATAAAATTATTGTAAACATGTCATGAATACTTCTTAAATTATAGATACGTTGCAGACGTATCACGTCCCTCAGCATCATTCAGAACAGATGTCCGCAACCCTTTACAAAGATTACTTGTAAATCATTGACCATAGCAACTATGTGAGCACCAGTACGGAGGGCGGGCTTCTTCCGGTGATCTGCCTCACCTTTGAAATGCTTGCACTTCTTTCGACATTGATGGTTGGTCGGAAGAAATCGAAGATGTCCTAGGTACACATTCTTCATGCATTTCTCTAAATATATCCTTTCAGTGTCATCTAAACAGTGCGTGCATGTGTGATATCCCTTGTTTGACTGTCCTGAAAGGTTACTGAGAGCAGGCCAATCATTGATGGTTGCAAATAGCAACGCATGTAGGGAAAATTCCTATTGTTTGTGCTCATCCCACACACGTAAACCTTTTCCATTCCACAGCTGTAAAAGTTCTTCGACTAATGGCCTTAGGTACACATCAATGTTGTTGCCGGGTTGCTTAGGGCCTTGGATGATCTCTGGCATCATAATGAACTTCCGCTTCATGCACAACCAAGGAGGAAGGTTATAGATACATAGAGTCATGAGCCAGGTGCTATGATTGCCGCTCTACTCCCTAAAAGGATTAATGCCATCTGTGCTTAACCCAAACCATACATTCCTTGCGTCACCTGCAAAGTCCCCCCACCTTCTCTCAATTTTTCTCCACTGCGACCCGTCAGCGGGTGCTCTCAACTTCCCGTCTTTCTTACGGTCCTCTTTCTGCCATCGCATCAACTTTGCATGCTCTTTATTTTTGAACAGACATTTCAACTGTGGTATTATAGGGGCATACCACATGACCTTGGCAGGAACCCTCTTCCTGGGGCGCTCGCCCTCAACAGCACCAGGGTCATCTCGTCTGATCTTATACTACAATGCACCGCATACCAGGCATGTGTTCAAATCCTCGTACGCACCCCTGTAGAGGATGCAGTTATTAGGGCGTGCATGTATCTTTTGCACTTCCAATCCTAGAGGGCATAGAACCTTCTTTGCTTCATACATACTGTCGGGCAATTCTTATCCTTTGGAAGCTTCTTCTTCATTATTTTCAGTAGCTTCCCAAATCCATTGTCAGATACACCATTGTCTGCCTTTCGTTGCAGCAATTCCAGAGTGGTACCGAGCTTTGTGTTGTCATCTTCGCAATTTGGGTACAACCCTTTTTGTGATCCTCTCACATGCAATCGAACTTCAACTTTTCCCTTTCACTTTGGCATTGTCTCTTTGCATCAACAATGACCCGGCGAAGATCATCATCGGGCACATCGTCTGGTTCCTCTTGATCTTCAGCTTCCCCCGTTGCAGCATCACCATATTCAGAGAGCGGATAGTTGTCATCATCCTCTTCTTCTTTGTTGTCTTCCATCATAACCCCTCTTTCTCCATGCTTGGTCCAAACATTATAGTGTGGCATGAAACCCTTCTCAAGCAGGTGGATGTGAAGGGTTTTAGAGTCAGAGTAAGACTTCATATTCCCACAGATAGGGCATGGACAACACATAAAACCATTATGCTTGTTTGCCTCAGCCACTTCAAGAAAATTATGCAGACCCTTAATGTACTCGGAGGTGCGTCTGTCACCGTACATCCATTGCTGGTTCATCTGCGTGCATTATATATAATTAAGTGTGCCAAAAACCATTAAAGAACATCATGAATAGAGAAGTGACCAAATTAATAGAAGTTCATCATCACACTAAAACTAAAGTACAGTAGTGATCAAATGTTATTACTGAAAAAATAAATACATAAAGTTCATACATAGTTCTCATTGAACAACATATAGCTCTCTAGAGCATGTAATTAAAACATACATTGAAACTATGTAAAACATTTTAATGCAACAAAAAATGCGATCATAATCGCAACTAAGTTAACAATTGATCCAACGGGATAATGATACCAAGCCTCGGTATGAATGGCATATTTTCTAATCTTTCTAATCTTCAAGCGCATTGCATCCATCTTGGTCTTGTAATCATCGACGACATCCGCAACATGCAAATCCAATTCCATCTTCTCCTCCTCAATTTTTTTCAATTTTTTCTTCAAGTAATTTTTTCCTTTTCAACTAAATTTAACCTCTCGACAAGAGGGTCAGTTGGAATTTCCGGTTCACAAACCTCCTAGATAAAAACATCTATGTCACGTTGGTCGGCATAATAGTCATAAACACTAAATGAAACAAATAGTTATAAAATACAATATACCACATCCAAATCATAGACAGGACGAGGGCAACGGGGGTGAATACCAAAACCATGGCACTATACAATAACAAATAATAATAAAAGTAAGAAAATTATACAAGTATCTATCTAAATCATACAAGTAAGAATTTTTTTTAGAAAGAAGATAAGAACGAGAGGCTCACCACGGTGGTGCCGGCGACGAGATCTGCATGGGTGATCAACGACGGTGAGGACGGGAACGGGACATGACGGACTGCCAAACCTAGACAAATCTTGAGGAAAATGGAGTTTGGAGGTCGAGCTTGGAGAGGAGAAAGCTTAAGTGTGGCTCGGGCATTTTATCGAACACCTCGTGTGCATAGGAGGTGAGAGCTAAAGCAACACACACCTCTCCCACACGGCCGGCCAAAAAACAGAGCACTGAGCAGGAAGGGGGTATATATAGACTTCTCTTTAGTCCCGGTTTGTGGCTAAAGCCGGAACTGAAGGGCAACCGCTGGTCCCGGTTCCAGCCACCACCCCGGGCTAAAGGTGCTGGGCCAGGAGCAAGACACATTGGTCCCAGTTTGTGTCTGGAACCAGGACCAAAAGTGTCAGACGAACTGGGACCAATGGCCCCCGAGGCCCGGCCGGCGCCTTGACCTCACGAATCAGGACTGATGCACCATTTGGTCCCGGTTTGTGAGTAAACTGGGATTAATGCTCTTATCCCAAAAACCTGTTTTCTACTCCCTCCGTCCCATAATATAAACGCTCTTATATTATGGGACGGATGGAGTACTTACTAAGTTACTTCATGCAACCTGTCGTTTCTTGAAAAAAGGTGTAGTTAGCAGGGAAAGTACCATTCTACACCCAGGAGCAAATGCTCCTGGTGTGAACAGTAAAATCAAAAAAATAGAATTTTTTTAAAACATTCTGAAAAAAATTTGTGACATACTTTCACAAGTGTTTCTTGTGCATGAAAATTTTCATCATGAAATCACATTCGTGGAAGTCGTGCCGAAAAAAACAAAATCAGAGCTTCAAAATGCTTTTGTAAGTAACATTTTCAGAGCATCGATTTTGTTTTTTTTTACCACACCTTTCACCAATGTGATTTCGCGATGAAATTTTACGTGCACAACAAACATTTGTACAAGTATGCCACAAAAAAAATTCAGAATTCTTTGATATTTTTTATTTTACTGTTCACACCAGGAGCATTTGCTCCAGGGTGTAGAAACTCCACTTCCAGTTAGCAGGTGATTTGTTGTGCCCGGAATGAAGTTTGAGAAAACTACTAGCCAAACAATAGCATGTATTTTCTATACTGTAATTGAAATTTTTATGTCATCAATATTCTTTTTCTTGAATGTTGGTCAATATTCATTTGAGAGGTTTACACAGGGTGTGTTCACGTGGAAAAAAGAAGGTACTGACATTATATTGACATACTATAGCTAGGTAGCTGCCACACAAAGTAAAGCACGGTAACTTTAACCTGTAAGATCGGTGCAAATTGATCACCGACACCAGTCAGCGTAGCACCCTATCCACCAACACTTGTACGTAGCACCCTGTCCAATCACTGCAAACTTTGTAGCGCACAGTGTCATTGTCTTGCAGCGAACATCACAGAGCGCAGAGCGCACTGTAGCGAACAGGACACCGCGCTGTAGCGCGCCGCGTGCATGAGCCCCCGCACCGCACGGGAACACAGCTATGCGTAGTGTGTACCGTGTACGATATAGATTTTCCCTATAAACAACTTATTCACGTACTGTGTACAGCTATGCGTAGGTTACATGCATCAACCAATGCAGAGGCTGTGGTATTTAACACTTTTATTCGGAGAAGAAATAAAAGGACAGGTACAGCGTATAATCACAGACCGAGTGATACACGACGCCGCAGCATACAAGCGTGCACGACGATCTTCTTGTTGGAGAAAGCGTATTTCACACAGACGACAGAAAGTAAACGCACACGTGCACCGAGACTCGGTCACCACCGCTCAGAGCAGCTTCACCAGCTCCGGCGCCACCTTCAGCGATGCCTGCACCACCTGTGGAGTCAGGCCGCCGAAAATCGAGCCCTCCCCGATCAGGTGCTCCACCGCCGGCCAGCCATGTACGCAGCAGGGACATCGGAAACCATCATCAGTACAAGATTTGCATTTCGCATTTGTCAAGGTCACGGTCACGTACCTGGCGCTCTTGATCAGCGAGACCCACTCCACTCCATCGGCGCCGGCGGCGACGAGCGCCACGGCGAACCGCGGCACGACGAACAAGCTCCCCGCAGCGACATCCTCGTCCAGCAGCAGCGTGTCGCCGCCCACGGCGGACGAGACCTGGACGCGCGCGCTCCCGCGGGCCACGTACACCGCCTGCGCCGCGCCCTCGCGGAGCACCCACGGCGCCCTCGCGGCGCCGGGCTCGAGCCGTCCGAGCACCGCGCTGAATCCGAAGCCGCCCAGCGCGTCCAGATCCGACGCGGTGAGCATCTTCAGGGTCCCTGCAGCGACGTGGCCGGCGTTCACGACGAGCCCTTTCCTGTCGTGCTCTCGCGGGCACACGCCGGGCAGCTTCGCGCTCAGCCTGGTGAGGAGGACGGCCGGCTGGCTCCGGAACGCGGTGGCCGCCTGCTCCTCCGTGACACCAGGCCACGCCATGGTGAGGAGGCCCGCGTCGAAGCCGCTCAGGACGCTGTTGCCGCCGGCGAGGAAGAAGTATGAGATGTCCCCGGGGCTGACGGCGCGCGCCGTGTCGCCTATGAACAAGATGGACAAGTCATCAGCGCTGCCTTCGTTGTCGTTGTCGTTGTACCACCACGATACGTCCCCAGTGCGCACGGCGATGACGTCGCCGGCCTTCAGGCGGACGACCCTCTCCTTGGCCTCGACCGGAAGGACCCCAGCCACCCCGGAGCCGCTGAGGACGTAGCCGAACTTGTTGGAGTCAGCGTAATGCGGCAGCGCGAAGCCGAGGGGCGTCAGCACGAGAAGGCCACACCCGAGCCCCTCCGTTGCGAGCTCCGGCTGGTCAGCACCAGACCAAGCTATGTACGCCCCCGCGTCGGTCTGGACCAGGGGCTTGCCGGCCTTCGCAGACATGCCTCCCTTCCCCACGTACGTATTTACCTTCATGCAGAAGTTAGATCGATGAAACTCCGGTTGCATGCACGCATGCAACTATGCAATGCAATCATCCGTCAAAAAAAAGAAAGAAAAACAATGCAAGCAAGCATGTGGAGGGAGATCGAATCACCTGAGCTGGAGCTGGAGGTGGAGGTGGAAGAACGTTGAGCCTTCAGTCTTCAGAACTGCTTATCTCACAACTTCACAAGCAGGAGGGGAGCGTCCAATTTATAGCAAAAACTAGGGGAACAGTGTCAGTCGCAAGTCGTCACCCAAATATATCTACGACGATCAAGTTGGCTTTGCCTCTCAAGGGTGGCCAAGAGGTAGGCAGAATGACTACGTTAGTCCGTTAGTCCTATATATATTCATTTCTGCAACAAATAATTTGAGATCGAGGGAGTATATGTTAGGACATAGGTGGGTCCTAAAATATCAGAAAATCTAAAATTTGTTAAATCTGTGAGATTGTTTTGCCCAATTATTTTTCAACTCTATCTAGATGATGTAAGTGATAGCATAGAGGGGTAATACCCAACTCCAGATTTATACACGCTCGATCCAATCAACGTGAGTGTCTCCAACAAGCAATGTCAACTTAGCAAGATTTATCTCTTTCCGTTTCGACAGCTTACCACACACACATGTCCTGAGGGGGGCGTGTGGTTAGCGATGTTTCTTTTTTTTTTGTAGGATAATCCTGAAAGGAACGACTATTTGGTTTACTTGTCTACTATATATACCCACGCGCTCCACATGTTGAGTGTCCCATTCAGGGTAGAGTATTATATATGGATGCCAGTTGTGCACACCCAATAATTACTACTATCAAGGAGTATCAAATACTTGATATATTGTAAGCATTTAGTAGTTCGGGCCCTTTCATTTGCATTGGCATTGCTCTGTGTTAATCTCACGCATCATGTCTTCGTTGAGGCTGGTTGTAATGGTAGTATCGTACTTAGTATCACTAGTAGAAAAAGGGTCTAATGTGAAACTCATTAGTCCCGGTTTGCAACTGAACCGGCACTAATGTGACCATTAGTGCCGGTTCCAACGGCCAGGCGGGCGACGCTCATTAGTACCGGTTCATGGCGAACCTTTAGTACCGGTTCGTGCCACGAACCGGTATTAAAGAGGTGGTGACCTTTAATACCGGTTGGTGGCTCCAACCGGTACTTAAGTGGGGTCTTTAGTACCGGTTGGAGCCACCAACCGGTACTAAAGGTGGTGGCCTTTAGTACGGGTTGGTGGCTCCAACCGGT